TCAGAAAATTAGGAAACAACCTTCCTCAAGACCCAGTAATACCACTTTTGGGTATATATCCAAAGGATGCTCAATCGTGCCACAAGGACATGTGCTCAACTATGTTCATAGCAGCTGTTTGTCATAGCCAGAACCTGGAAACAACCTAAATGCCCCTCGACCAAAGAATGGATAAGGAAAATGTGGTACATTTACACAATGGAGTACTACACAGAAAAAAAAAAAAAAAAAAAAAAAAAAAAATCTTGAATTTTGCAGGAAAATGGATGGAGCTAGAAAACATTATTTTGAGTGAGGTAACCCAGACACAGAAAAAAATTATCACATGTACTCACTCATAGAGATGGTACTCACTCATAAAGCAAAGAAAGCCAGCCTACAAACCACAACCCCAGATAACTTAGACGACAATGAAGAGACTAAGAGAGACTTACATGGATCTAATCTACATGGGAGGTAGAAAGTGTAAAAAGACAAGATCTCCTGAGTAAATTGGGAGCATGGGGACCTTGGGGGAGAATTGAAGAGGAGGGAAGAGGTAGGGAGAGGAGCAGAGAAAAATGTAGTGCTCAATAAAAATCAATAAAAAAATTTATAAAAAACAAAACAAAAAACCCTACTTTACCTTTCCCATAAGTTTTATGTTCTCTAACTGAATAAGTTAGAGATTTCCCGTTTGTTCTCGCTGGCACACGCCCAGAGCCTCTCCCCTGACCACCAGCTCACATGGACCCAGAACCTCCTCGGCAACTGGCTGGGCTACAACTCCAGTTTGCCAGGTGACCACACATCCCTCAACACAACAAGAGTCAACGGCTGCTTAAAATCACACATTGAAACCGCACTGGCCACAGACAGAAATAGGAATTCCTGCATGTGGTAGGGCTCAGTGCAGAGCTGGAGAGATGGCTCTGGGGATGGTAGGGCTTCCCGTGCAAGCCATGCATGAAGACCTGGGAGGGTGCGAGTGGGTGGACACAGGGGTCTCTGAAGCTTACTGACTGTCAGATAACCCTGGGGAGAGATCCTGTCCCTGGGGATGAGGTGGAGGGGGTCAGATGAGACATCGGGTACACCCACTCCCATGTCGTTCCATGTGCAGATGCCACAGAAATGTACGCATCCCGATACCCACGTCCCTGTTAAATCACAGACGGTTCTTAATCTCAACAGAACGTTACTACATGCCCCCTTCCAGCCAGAAGTCTCCCTCCTTCCAGAGACAACCTGTTGGTTCCACCACTTTTTAGTTTTGTCACGTCCACAGCTCCATCTAAACAGCGGCACACAGTACATTCTTTCGTGTCTGGCCTTTTCTGTTCTCACTGTAATGAAGCTCAAGCTCATCAGTGGCATGTTGGTGATTTGTCCTTTTTAATCATGTGCTGTGTGAGTATACTGCATTTATTTATTCTCTCGGTTGACATCTGATTCTACCAAGTTGGGTTCTTCTGCGAATAAAGCTGCTATGGACAGTGGAGTAAGAGCTGTCAGTAGATGAAAGGCTTTGTTTCTTTTGTAATTAGAGCTAGTTACCCGCTAAGTCTATGACCACTTCCCAATCAACTTCTAGTGTGGGTCCACCACATTATCCCTTCATCAGCACCGTGGACACACTCAGGTCTCACCCAGCACCTGCTGTGGCCAGGCCATGTTTCTGCACCATCTACAGTAGGATCTCACTGTCCTGACTAGTATCTACCGAATTCAGCAGCCTGCCCCTGTGTTCTATGTTTATGAGGAAGCACACACGCATGCACACACGTGAGTGCGAGTTCATATGTCACACAGAGCTTGTCAGAGGACAACCTGCAGTGGTCAGTTTTCTCTATCTTTCTACCATGTGGGGCCCAAGGATTGAACTGAGGTCACCAGGATTGGTGACAAACACCTTATTCTCTGAGCCATTTTGCTGGACGCCCAAAGTAATCTCAACAGTGGCAGCAGAAACAACAGGGAATCCAACAACTAAATGCTTATTCCCTGAGAGCAGTGTGCTGAGCTTTCATATCTCCAACTTAATCCTAACAATATTTCTCTTTTCTCTTTGCTTGAGCCAGACCTAGCAATGTGGCTCAGGCTGGTCTAGAATGTGAGAGCCTCCTGCCTTGGCCTCCGAGTGCTGGGACTATAGGTGTGCGCCACCATGTCCAGCACAATATTCCTCTTAGATGTCGCTATTGTTTCCAGTTCTTCTTAGGAGAAGCTAAATAGCAGCATACAGCTTTCTCACTCGTAGTGAATAAGAAGAGGAAGCGGCACTGACCATGCTGGCTGGTAAGCTGACGCTCCCCAGAACCTATAGGAATGGGTTTCAGTTGATTAGGTCCTAACTGGCGAAATAAGGGGAGCTGAAAGTTTGCACAGTACAGAGTTCATCTCCGCCCCTCCTCCCTGCCTAAAAAACCAGAAGAGAAACCACTGCAGAGCGCTCAGAGTAGGTAGTGAGGGTTACTTCAAGGACTTTCTCCCCACATGTAACCCCAGTCACAATACAGAATCTACTTTGTAGTTATGTCTCTATTGTAAATGACACCGGAAGAGAACGAAGACTCGCAGAAGGCTGACTCCAGAGTCTGCTTTTCAACAATGTAAGGTAAAAGAAACACACAAACTGTATTACAGAAAGTGATCAGCAGTACTATTTTACTGTAACAAATGCTACGAAAGTCTACAAACTAAAAGACGTGGCTGTAGATCAAATATATAATATACAAAAGAAAGAAACAAAAACCAGATAACCAAAACATTCTGGAGTCTGGGGACAGTCCCCAGCACACATGCATTTGGTGAGCACGACATGTTTGCAGGGCAGTGCACGTGCTGTGATGCGGGCAGTGACAGGGGAAGACTGATATGACCACGTGAGGCACAGTCCTTGGTCTTCAAGGCGGTGAGAAGCTGCTGGATTTTTAAGGACAGACTCAACATCTGCAAGGAACAGCAGTTTTCTAAAGAGCATCACTCATGTTTAGAGGAACACCGACTACAGTTTATTTGATAAGAATTTTCTAAGACACAGACTTTAAACTCATAAGGAATAGGAAGGAAAAGGCCGACCCTGGAAGTGGGTGGGTTCTGGCAGATAAATGGGACAATCAGTGACTGAATGAATCACAGGAAATACGGTAAGGTGGTGGGGATGGCGGGGCGTACATGACCCCAAACTCCCTCTAGAGTGCTACACAGTGGGACTAACCCACAGACGTCGTGTGACACCTTAAATTAATCCTGTAAACCCAAACACCGTTCTACTAGCAATGTACACAGGCTCTTTTACTCACTGTGTATGGAAAGCTACAGGGCTCAGTGAGTGCAGGTTCTTACAACCAACACCAACACTGACAACCTGAGCTTGGTCCTTGGGACCTACGGAGTAGAAGAAAAGAATCAATGCTGTCCTCTCCTCTGACCTCCTCACCGTGCTGGCCAGGCTGCATGACTACATGCATGTGATTTGATTCAGGAGTATTAGTGCATAAAAGCCTGGTGTGGTGGCACACACTGTTAATCCCAGTATTCAGGGGCCAGGGGTTTTCTATGAGTTCTAAGCCAGCCAATGGTACACAGTGAGACTCTGCTTCAAAATAAAGAAATAAACATCACATTCCACTCAGAGCTCCAGTCCTCCCTTCCAGTCACCCAGCTAGAAGAGGGTTCCTCCTCGCTCACACAGCACGCTTCTCTTTCAGTGCTGGTGACTAAGTGCACCAAGCTTACGCCACCACGGAGCTACCACCACACGTGAACTCCTTTTAAATGTTAAGTCTGAAGCTAAGCTTTTAAAAAATGATTTATTTTTACTTTTGATTATGTGTCTGTGTCTTTGCATGTACACACGAGTACGTGTTCCAGGAGGCATTCGATCCTTTGGGGCTGGAGTTATAGGCTGTGAGCTGCCTGCTGAGGGTGTTGGGAATTGAACTTGAGTCCTCTGGAAGAGCAGTATGTGTGCACTCTTAACTGCTGAGCTATCACTCCAGCCTGAAGTTAGTTTGCACTAACTTTTTGTTTTAGATTTGTGTGTGTGTATACATAACTTAAAAATAAGTTTAATAAAAAATTTAAAGGAGGGTTAATTTCGAAAACAAAGAAAAGAAAGATGACAAACAATTTTGTAAAAGCCATAAAAACAAAACAAAACACTAAACCCAAAAACCTTGAAAAACCAATTCCCAGTTGGGCACCGGGGGCACAGGCAGAGCTCTGTGAATCTGAGGCTAGCCTGGTCTACAAAGTGAGTCCCAGAACATCCAGAGCTACAAAGTGAGACCCTGTCTCAAATAGCGCTCCCACCACACACAAAACAAAGTAAAACAAATCCCCAATAAAATGAAGTCCAGAGGAGAAATATGCATTCTGAAAGAGAGCACCTGCAATTCAGACAGATGCTCATCAAAGCCCTCGGTGCGACAGTCTGGGAAATAGACTTTCTATTGAGTATCTAGGAGACTTCGCCAGCAACACCACACTATTTAGTACTGAGGGCTCGAGTAATCTCAGTGGGAGGGAGGGCTGCTAGCATTTGTGAGGCTGGGGCTCCATTTCACAGTAGGGTGAGGGTGAAGGGAAAGGACGCAGCCTTTGATTTTCTTCTGATACAAACCTCTAACCATTGTCCAGCTGGGGAAAGCAGACCACCTGACCTTGACTAGAAAGGATACCAGGACAAAACTGGGGGCTGCAGAGAAGGCTCAGTCACTGGCTGCTCTTCAGGAGTACCCGAGTTCTCCTGCTAGCACCCAAACGGCAGCTGCTTCTAACTCAAGCTCTGGGGGAGTTACTACGCCTTCTTCCGGCTTCCCTGGCATTACATGCATATATGTAGGCAAAGACCCATACATGTTAAGTATTTTTTTATTTTAAAATTAAAATAGGAAAATTTGCTTTATTAATTATACGAATACAACAGTAGACAGAGGTGACAGCCAGTCACTTGGTATCCTTTATACAAATATGAAAGCAAAAACAAAGCCATGACTTCCTGTCTGAAGAACAGGCTGTTCCCAGAGAAGTAAATAACATGACTGGATGGGAATTCTAACAGTGAGGATTATGAAATTACTTTATTAAAGCTAGGCCTCTCCTAAAAAACATTAATAAATGGCACCCATTCTCGAGAACTGGCAATGCTCAAGGAAGACTTCACGGGCCTGAACTTCACAAGATGAGCACTTGTGAGGGCTTTAGAGACTGTGGAAGAGGTGAAACGCCAGCTCTCGCTCTCCATGGAAGGGGGAGATTCACACACAAAACACAAAGAGCGCTGTGATGTGCAATGCTTATCAGAATGAACACATCTTCACATTGCTGTAATCCCCAGTGAGGACAGAAAAGAGAAATCACATTAAATGTATTCAGCTTTTTAAAATGTACTGGCGTGCTTGGTGGTTAAGAGTGCTTGCTGTGGGTTCCTAGCACACACAGCAGGCAACTCACTTGTAACTGCAGTTCCAAGACAAACACCGAAATAGACACAATTAAATAAATGTAATTTTATAAAACAAACAATCCCCCCCCAAAAAAACGACCAACAAAACAAAACCACCCCCAGAAATTCTAAAGGACCAAACACAACACTATTATGATATAGTGCTGAAATGTGCTAGAACAGATTCTGAATATACACCACAATCACAGAAAATCTTATTTTAAACAGCCACGGAGGGCATTTCATTTAAGAGGCACGTGGAAGAAAAAGAAACGATGTGGGACCGAGCGGGATTAAGACAAGAGTGCCAACAGCACCAAGGGAAGAAGATTAAAAAGGAAGACGAGGGGCTGGAGAGATGGCTCGGTAGCCGAGAGCACAGGCTGCTCTTCCCAGCACCTACACGGTGGCTCACAATGTCTGTGACTTCAGTTCCAGGGGACTCTAGTGCTCTCTTCTGGCCTACACTGGCACTAGGAATGCACACACGACATATATGTAGGCAAAACACCCACACATATTTTTTAAAAATGGCCTGAAGTCCTAGGAATTGGGAAGCTGCACGCGGGGGGGGGGGGTGTCTGCTGTGTCTGGTACCTGTCAGTTACACATCACAACACCCTATTATCTCAAGAAACCAACACCCGCCGCCGCCACCAAAAGTAAAGCACTCAGGTAATCTAATTAGAAGGAGTCAGTAGGGGTTGGAGTTTAGAGGTAGAGTGTTTGCCTGCTAGGTTCTGGGTCCAACCCCCAGCGCAGAGAGGGCAGGGAATTAGAAGTCACGTGTCTTTCAGCAGGCAGAACTTAAGTCGAGCAAGAGAGGTAAATAGTAAATGAGAGATGCAAGAAGCAGGAGGCGGACTACAAACAACACTGAAACACCTGCGTCACCAGAGGGGACAGCAGGTGGCTCAGGATGAAGACGGCTGCAAAGAGCTTTGGCTTAGAAAAGAGCAGAATGCAGAAACTGGTTCAAATGAGCCTTGAGCCTGGGACAAGAAGTAATGTAAGTGAAGAAATCGGAGCATCAAGAGAAGCGAGGAAGAAAGGGGCGAGTAAGCCATGAAGAAAGGGAAGAGGAGGGCTGGGAAAGATGTCCAGCTGGTAGAGTGCGTGCCTAGTATGCGCGCAGCCGAGCTCAAGCCCAGCACCGTGTTAAGTGTATATGGGGCGTCTATACATCCCAGCACTCAGAAAAACTACATAAACTAATATTAACTAACCTGCGGTGCCCTGCTGTGTCTTAAGAGATCTAAGTCGGTGCACAGCAGTTCTTCCTTTCTTACAAACACTACACGTTAGGCCTGTGGGTACTGTCTAAAACACCAGCACTGGAGAGGAGAGGCAGGGAGACTGCTCCAAGTTGAGGTCAGCTTGGCAGGCAGTGCAAACCCTCCACCTAGGAATAGTCCACAGTGAGGTGCACCAGGTTCTGCTGCCTTGCTTTATTGCTTTACAGGTTCTTGATGCTGCGTTAAACAGTGGTGCACGGAACATCCTTGGGTGTCTATGGAAGAATGCCCCCACCTCCCCGCCCCAGAGTTTCTCTATGTAGCGCTGGCTGTCCTGGAACTCAGAGATCTGCCTGCCTCAACCTCCTGAGTGCTGGTGGGATTAGAGGTGTGGACCACCACCCAGTGAAAGGACAGTGTTGTAGAAGAGATATTTCTTTTCTTTTCTTCCTTCCTTAAAAAAAGACTTTAATGTTTCTATTATGTGTACCCGTGTGCTTCTGCATGAGTATATGCCACTCCTATACGGGTGCCTGAGGTGTCCAGGAGAGGGTGCTAAATCTCTGGAGCTGGAGTTACAAGTGGTTGTGAGCCGTTTATTGTGGGTGCTGGGTACTAACTCAGCTCCTCTCTGGAAGAACAGCACGGACTCTTAACCACTCAACCATCTCTTTAGTCCCCTATGATAAAGGGTCCTGCTTTTCTTTTCAAGACCACTTTTTTATTTATTATCGTGTATATGTGTAAGACTCTGTGGAGTTGGTTTATTCCTTTCACTTTCACACGGTTCTGAGACTTGAACTCAGGTCAGCAGGCTGTGTCGTTGGGCAGTGAGCACCTTTACCTGCTGAGAGCCATCTCAGTTGCCCTGGTTTCCCCAATGCGTTCTGTAAAGTGTTTTTTTTCCACACAGACTGTCAGCGGGCAGATAGGATGGCTTCCTCCTCTCCTAGTTATTTCGACAACTGGCTGAAGCCACACACTACATGACCCAGCACCGTTTTTATTTGAAACAAAAACTTTCATACTTTTCCTTGCTTTTCCCTATAGGGGCAGCTAGAAATAGCCTGATTAAACCTGAATCATGAGGTCAGCACACGCCAGGAGACACAATGACAGGAAGTCAAAATAACAGGAATAAGCTGCTTCCTTTTTTATCTGTCTTAGTTTCAGGCTGAGGGACTGCAATAGAGCTCATCCCCAACTGCCCAAGAGGAGAACTGTTCTGGAAGGAAGTGACACTTCACAAGCAGAACCCCCTTCCCTTCCTCCAAGGCATGGCCCTCCCCAACCCCATACCCAGATCCCAGAGGCCACAGGGAGATGTGAGCTGAATGACAACGGCCGCGCCTGTAATTACTGCTCACACATTCACAGCATGAACTGCGCTCCCCGAGGGCCAGCGAACAGCTGACGCCACAATCACTTCTAAGAGCTGGCTGTTATGGATGAGGGTCAATGTTTTCATGAATAAAATTCAGATGTTTTATCACTTAAGAACACAAGCTTCTTGTTATAAACAGTTTATGAACTGTTACGCAGTTTATGAACACTCTTCATATCTTCTGGCTCTTTCTGCCGGGACGGCTCATCGGTACTCACGCTCACTGACTCACCCTGCCCTGGGTAGTACAGGACTCCTACCGCCTTCAGGGAAGCAAGCCACGGAGAACGGAGAGGCTTGGTTGGGAGTTTCCACCAGTTACAAGCCAGTACTCTTCTATGTTCACAGTTCTGTTTTCACACACGGAGACCTTTTCCCTTATTAGTCTGAAGGTCCACTCTGATCGCGCTGTACTGTTCTGCCCAGACCCTGCTATCAGATGCCAGGCTGTTTCTAGCATTTCCACTGCACTGAAACCGCTCCATGAACAGCCTGACTTGCGACTGTACTCAGGAGGCTGAGGTGGAAGGAGGGCAAACTGCAGGCATACCTGGGCTGGATAGTGTCTCAAAACATTAAGGAAGAAAACTCTGACGACATCTAAATAGTCAATGTCACTAGTCAATAAGAAACGAAAATTAGAACTGAAACGAGAGCCTGGTGTGGGTGCAGGAACATGCAGCTGAGGCAGGGCTTCTCTGAGTTCCACGTCAACCTGAGCTATACAGTGTGTTCCAGGCCGGCCTGGGTTACACAATCTCATACAACAATAACAATGAAATGGAAGTGACTTATGACACACCTGTTAGAATGGTTAAATAAAAAAGGGGGCCGTACCCAATGCTGGCGAAGCTGTGGCATCACTACAACTCTTGATGGGGAATATAAGATGGTTTATCACATCAGAAAACTACCTAGATAGTTCTTACAAATTAAACAAGATACTTGGCATGGTGGCTAATGAAATCCCAGCACTTACAATGTTCTCTCTCTCTCTCAAAAGTAAATATACACCTATGATTTAATATAGTCATTCCTTTGTGTCCACACAAAGCCTTTCACATGTAAAGGTTCATGGTGACTTTATTTATAGTAATAACAAAGTTTGGAATAATGCAGATACTAAGATGAATGTATAAAACAAAACTATAGTTCGAGGCCAGCCTGGTCTACAAGAGCTAGTTCCAGGACAGGAACCAAAAAGCTACGGAGAAACCCTGTCTCGAAAATCAAAAAAAAAAAAAACAAACCAAAACTATGAGGTATGTATAGAGATAGTGAAACACCATTCAGTCATAAGAGAAATCAACTGTCAATACATAAAACAGCATAGATAATAAACAATCATACGCATAGTAACAGGCTGCCCCTAACTTATCTTTGTACCTATAGGTTAGGGCGTCTCTCAACTATCATCACAGAAGCTGCTTTTTGCACCTGGCTAGACCTGCTCTAGCCAACACGCAGAGACTAAGAGTGTGAAATGTTCGGACAAATGGGACATCTGGAGCACACTCCCTTCCCTCAAGGCTCAGAAAGCAGTGACAAAGAGAGGCTGGACAGTTTGTGAGAGCCAGAAAGAGGAGATGTGTGCAGAGAAACCGTAGTAGCTGGGCATGACAGGGTACCTGTTACACGCATGAACTCACAGTGGCAGAGGTTGTGTCCTTAAGACTCACATAAGATTAAGCCAGCTAAAACCCAAGTGTGGATGGGCGAGAGGTCCTTGAAGTCCCACCTCTACCTGAGAAGCTACTGGCAACCGATGGCTGTTAGGGACAGTAGGGAAGTCTGCTGTTTCCAGGGACGTGGCCTGGGCTCCGTGGATGGTCCCGTGCCCATGCATGCACAGGCAGCTATGTGGGAGGGGGCAGATAACGGGGGGGGGGGGACTGGACAGAAGGGAACCAGGCAGATTTGATCAAACACACCATTTGCAGATATAAAACTCAAACAAGTTCACTCTTCCACAACTAGAAAATACCTTCTGGATGATTCCATAAAGCCAGGTAACTGACACCTGGGGACAGAAAGCAGGCCAGGGATTCAGGAGCAGGAGTGATGAGGTGAATTAGGCAGGGTGAATTAAAAAAGGGCACAAAGAAGATCTTGGGGGTGATGGACACATCTCCTGGGACTGTGGAAATGGTCTGCAGTGCACACCTGTGACGGCAGCACTCTGGCAGAGATGGATGGATGGATGGATGGATGGATGGATGGATGGATGGATGGATGGGTCTTAGGCTCAAGGCCAGCTTGGGCTGAATTGCAAGACTATCTCCAAACACAAAACTATGTAGGGGTTTGGGTGGGGGAAGCTACAACATACCATCTGCTCCAAGCCACCAAGTCAACCTTACCCTTTGTCAGCTGTTTCAAAAGACAGACATTTGGTTATCAGGGCAGGGATGGAGTAATTCCAGACAAGCACTACTGGGAACATCAGAAAATGCCACTGAAAAGCAAAAGCGCGGATCTTCCCCGCAGGCCAGCATCCCATCAGCACTGCTGGCTTTATGAACGTAATGCTGCCCTAAACCGATAAACTCTGTAGCGTGGATCGTAATGATAGTAACTATGGGTAAAGTAGTCATACCTGTCTAGTCGGGGTCTCTCTCTCTCAGTTCATCAGACGAGAGCCCGATCTGTGCTGGTGTGCACACACGTGTGCAAAACCTGATGGAAGATGTCTTTATTATTTTCCTTTTTTCCCCCAGACAGATTCTATGTGGACAGAGCTAAGTGTGGCTCTGTAGCAGAGGAAGATGTGTGTGGAGTGTGTGCTCTAAATCTGATCAATTCTGTTTCCCAGAGTTTTAAATGGCCATGATCGCAGTCCCCTGTCCTCCTCTGTGGCAGGCACTTTCTATTTCTAGGTCTGCGTGGAACTACTGAACTGGGACTTTCCTGCTGAATTGTGTAGCTCCACCCCTGGCTTCTAATAATGTAATTTTCCTTTTACTACTGAAGGGATTTCTACAGTGTGCTCACTCAGGAAAATAAAAGTTTATGTGACTTTCATGAAGACTGTTTTTCCCTGACACATGCTTCTAAACAGAAAATCATGTTTACCTGAGGTTCAATTGAGACCAAACACACTATAAATGGTCTTTTTAACAACTAGTTCACATACAGGAAGATTGGTTATTACACCATAGAAACACCGCCTTTCATGGCTTTATGCAAACATGCTTCGGCTGCAGCAGAGAAGGGCCTGGCAGCTTTTCTATGGGCAGGAGAAGCACACTACTGGGAGACTGTAGGAACTGCCTAGCACGTGGCAACAATTCCAAAGAGTGAATTAACACTTTTACAATCCCAGCTCTAGACAGGGATTCATTTTTACAAACTGTAGGACATTTACAATTGTTCCCTAAAGAAACAAAACCTGTGTGACTTGATATTCTCCAAGAAGCAACAGGTAGCCATGTGGTTTTGTTCAGAAACAAAAACTTAAAGTAGAAAAAAAGACTGTCCTTCCCCTTTGAAAGCAAAAAAGAGCAATCAAAGCTGCTTAAGAAAGACCAAGCTGGCCATTTCTAGAGCACAACTTTATTCCCAGTACTCGAGAGGCAGGGGTCTTTATGGAGCCTGAGGTCTAGGTCAGTCAGGCTACATAATGGGATTGTGTCAGAAAGTGAGTGGGGGTGGGCGGAAGTGGCCTGAAGAGGTAAGAGAAGGCTCAGTGGTTAAGTGGGCATACTGTTCTTGCAGGGGGACCAGAGTTTGGTTCCCAGAACCCATTTCAGACAGCGCACGGCAACCTGTAACTCCACCTGGAAGGGATCCAGCACCTCTGGCCTCGCAGAGACCTCCACTTGTTTGTATGTGCTCGTGCGTATATACGCGTGAGCACACACACACACACACACACACAAATAAAACGACCCCCCAAAAAACAACTCCAAAACACAAAAACCCCTCAAAAAAAAAAAAAGACCAAACCCAAAAAACAAAGACCAAAGCTTTTTAACTCACTGAATATGAATTAGGAACTAATAATAAAAAGAAAATCATTGTTAGTTCAGAAAGTCTACCAAGTATTTGTTAAGCAAAAGAGCTGTAAGATGACATCTAGCATTGCTACAGAACCCTAACAGACAGACAGACAGACAGAAACGATCCCAGAGATTAAATGAGATTTCACTTTAATGTAAAGAATCTGGCAGGGGGCCAGGGAGACGGCTAGGTGGTTAAGAGCATGGTGGCTCACAAAAGTCTGTAACTCATTTCAGGGAATCTGATTTCCTCCTCTGGCTTCCCAGGTACACATACATTGCACATACATACATGAAGGCAAAACACTCCTACACATAAATACAAATAAATTCAAAACAGCAGCAGCAAAGAATCTTGTTGAGGACTGTGCCTCTAACCCGACTGTGAATAACTCTGACTCAGGAGATGTTTAAAGACGCCTGTCTCGGGGGAGCCACACTGGATGGAGGCCGAGCTCAGCTACGTCACCTACAGGCCACACAGATGGAGAATGCCCCTGGCTGTCTAAACAACTCCCTTATAGAGCTTACAGCTCCCGCTTCTCTGGATCCTTTCAACTTTTCAGACCATTCTTATAGTAAACAGAACTAGACACATGTAGAAAAACCGCCAGGAAACATGCGCAGCAAGCAGCCAAGGCACCCTATGGCACAGAACAGAGAACAGCTTCTGCTAACTCCAACACTTGCCTGGGAGTACTGTGGCAATCTTAAGGCAATGCATCAAAATGGCAGTCATTTTATTTGCTCAACAAATATTTGATGCTAGGGATGTGGCTTAGTGACTGATCGTGTCCCCGAGTTAAACTTCAACAACAAAAATTACTACGGCAAATATTTACTGGGTATCTACATCAGGCTCTGTCAAGCTTAGGGGGAACGAACAGCGAAGTGACACACGCAGCAGGTGCCATTCTGCGCCCTCCCAGGCCGGGGAAACGGTCCCTTTCCATTGCAGGCCTCCTCTGCCACCGCATCCAGTTCCGAGGGGATGAGGGTGGATGAAGGACACAGGTACTAGCAGGGCTAAGAATGGGATCAGACCGTCCTCGGTTCTTTTCCCATTCTCCTCATTGTCAGGCAAGGACAAGGAACGGGAAGGTGTCATGAGGCCAAGCTAACTAGTAAAGGCAGGCTTTTATAAACTAGCATCACTCGAAACCTGACAACGACAGGTTTGCTGTCAAGTTGCGCTGTTCTACTCAATCACACTTCGTAGGGAGTCATCTGTCTTCAGCACGCTTAACTTTCGCCTGCTTTGGTTACTGCCCTTTGGCTTTGGGGGGTCTTGTCTGCTGAGATTCAACCGATACTCGGAAAAGTCCTCCGTGCAAGTGTAAAAAGCTTCAAGTTGAAAGGGGTGCATCTGCTTGGGTTTCTATAGGCTCTGCAGTTTCCATAGATGTCTATCCTCACTAATACACCTCTCCCAACCTTTGCATTCTAACTGATAACAAATTAAGTAACCCAATAATTTCCTCTTTTTTTTTTTTTTTTTTTTTAAAAAAAGGTCTTATTTAGTGATTATGTATACTACAGTGTTCTGACTGCATGTATGCTTTCAGGCCTGAAGAGGGCACCAGACCTCATTACAGATGGTTGTGAGCCACCATGTGGTTGCTGGGAATTGAACTCAGGACCTCTGGAAGAGCAGCCAGTGCTCTTAACCTCTGAGCCATCTCTCCAGCCCTAATTTTTTTTTTTTCTTCAAATTTTTGAGACAGGGTTTCTTTGTGTAGCCCTGGCTGTCCTAGAACTCACTCAAGAGATCCAACTGCCTTTGTCTCAGGAGTATTGGAATTAGAGGCATGTGCCACCTCGCAACCACATCCTGCCTAGCAATAGCTTTACGGAAACCTTGATGTCCTGGACATTTTATCCCGAGCATCAGTATATGAATGCATATATACTGCTCATGAAATAGATCTCAGCAAGTTCTCAAAGGGCGTCAGCACTTAAAAACAGTCGAAACACACTAGAAGTGCAAGGCTCAAGGTTTAGAAACCGAGCAGAAACTAAGGGCAGAAAAACTTCATCACTTTTCCCTCCCTTGGTTTGTTTCTTTTCTTTTTTGTTTGTTTTTATTTTGTTTTTTCAAGACAGGGTTTCTCTGTGGCTTTGGTGCCTGTCCTGGAACTAGCACTTGTAGACAGGCTGGCCTCGAACTCACAGAGATCTGTCTGCCTCGGCTTCCCGAGTGCTGGGATTAAGGCATGCACCATCACCGCCCAGTGGTTTGTTTCTTGAGACA